ACATACGGAGTTGGTGGCGAACGCAATGTCAGGTCGTGTAATGGATAGGTATTGCAACGAGCCAGCTAATTTCCGGAAAAGCTTTGGATCGGCGAACAGTTGATTATCGAATGAGGATGGTGGGCGAGAAGAAGCGGGAGACGTCGCTGGTTTGCAGTCTGTGAATCCTGCACTAGCAAACAAATCCTGTGCATAATGTGATTGACATAGGAAATAACCATAAGTAGTTTTAATAACCTGAATGCCGAGGAAGAGGGAAATCTCGCCCAGTTGCTTCAGACTAAACTCCGACTGAAGTTGACCCAGAACGAGCTGGATGTGATCGGGTTTGTTTCCTGTAATTAAGATATCATCTACATAGATTAGAACAAATATATGAATATCATTTTGATGAAAAATTAGAAGAGATGGATCGGCTTTGCTGAAAGCAAAACCAAGACGCTGAAGGAACTCGGTGAGCTTCTGAAACCACTGTCGTGGTGACTGTTGAAGACCGTAGATTGATTTATGTAGTCTGCACACGTGATTGGGAAATTTGGAGTCCTCAAAGCCCCGCGGTTGCCTCATGTAGACTTCATCTTGCAAATCGCCGTGGAGAAAGGCGTTGGAAATGTCAAGCTGAGTGATTTTCCAGTGATTGTTTAAAGCGACAGCTATCAACATGCGAATGGTGACCATCTTTGCAACCGGACTGAACGTCTCAGTAAAATTTACACCAAACTCCTGGGAACAGCCTTGAGCAACCAGACGGGCCTTGTAGCGATCGAGTTGTCTGTTCGGAAGCAGCTTCGTTTTGAATGTCCATTTGCAACCTATGAGAGGTTTGTCCGGTGGCAATGGAACTAGTGACCATGTACCATATTTTTGCAATGCTAGGAACTCAGCTGACATGGCCGATCGCCAGTGACTGTGTTTGGATGCTTCGTTGTATGAAGACGGTGTGATATTCGCATTCGGAACAGTCGATAGTGTAAATATCTGCTTCGGTTTTGTAATACCAGAGCGTAGACGGGTTTGCATTGGGTGTCGAACGGGTTGCAGATTGGTCGAAGAGGATGTAGTATTGATCTCAGGAGACATGTCTGTTGTCTGAGGAATGAGAGCAGGATGTTCAAACTGGGTGATTGGTTTGACGTTGTTCTGTTTGAATTGAATCGTGGAGGTTGGAACCAGGAGCGACGGAGGTACATATCCTGCACTAGATTCATTCGACCTGTTATTGTTAGATGACATAAATGGAAAATTGTTCTCATAGAATACCACATGACGAGAAATGTAAAGACGATTTTGAGGAATTTGAAGACAACGATAGCCCTTATGATAACTTGAATATCCCAAAAACACGCAAACCTGAGATCGTGAGGATAATTTATGTTTTGCATATGGTTTTGTCCACGGGAAGCATAGGCAACCGAAGGTACGAAGATGAGAGTACGATGCTTGGAGTCCATGTAGGCGATAATACGGTGTCTGATCATTGATTGCAGACGATGGAAGACGATTAACTAGGTAGTTTGCTGTAGATACAGCTTCGGCCCAAAAGGACTCGGGTAGTTGGGCGGCATGAAGAAGTGTTCTTGTGAGGTCAAGAAGATGCCTATTCTTTCGTTCGGCAATGCCGTTTTGCTCTGGTGTGTGCGGGCAACTCATTTGATGAGTAATGCCATTTTGGTCGAGGTAAGAGTGAAACATGTGGCTGTTATATTCCCCACCACCGTCAGACCTTAGAGTTTGGACTTTTGAATTAAATTTGTTATTGACTAAATTGCAGAAATGTTGAAATTTCATTAAAACTTCATCTTTGGTTTGAAGCAAATAGAGCCAAGTAAATCTGGAAAAGTTGTCAGTGAACGTAACATAAAACCGGAAGCCTGTGAAGGAGCAAGTCGGAGCCGGACCCCAGACGTCCGAATGGACTAGCTGAAAAGGCTTATTACAGACAGAATTACGCAAAGTAAAAACTTGTTTATGACTCTTAGACACGTTACAGGAGACACACACATAATTAGAAGCATGAGACATTATATCGGGATCTATTTTAGATAGAAGTTGAAGTTTCCGGCCATGAGGATGGCCAAGACGAGCGTGCCACATCATCTTGCGGGAGTCGGACGTTGTGAGCGCGGTCTTGTTGCAGCTGACGGGAGCTTTAATGTGGTAGAGTCCATTGTGCTTGGGACCCCGGAGAAGCACCCTGTTGTTCTGAAGGTTCTTTATGATGAATTCGTTAGCGGTGAAAGATATTGAGACATTATTGTCGGATGCAAGACTAGATACAGAGAGGAGATTGTTAGTAAGCGACGGAACATGATAAATTTTATTAAGATAAAGCTTACTCTGTGACTCGGGAAGTGGCAGTAAGCCTTGCCCCGAGTTTTGAATGGAGAGATTGCTACCATTGGCTGTGGATATAGAATCATAGCCGGTATACGGTGCTGACTGGTGGAGGTTCGTTGCATCAGCCGTTAGGTGAGAAGAGGCCCCAGAATCAAGTATCCAGTCGTTAGTTGCCGCGAATTGTTGTTGCGCTGAGAGAGCCCGGTAGTTAGTAGGAGGTGCGTTGTTCAAGTTTTAACGGTGCCAGCAATTTACGGCGGTATGTCCGATCTTTCCACAAATTTGACAGACCGGACGAGATTGTTGAGGACGGGTGTGTGACTTGTTCGAACATCCCCTGTAGTTACTGGACTGATTGCTGAACAGAGCCGTAGTCTCGGATTGATGACTTTCTTGAAGCAGTTGATGTTGAAGATTGATCTCTTCACTACTAAGAAGAGAATAAAGATCGTCAAGGCTGATTGGTTGTAACGAGGTTCTTATCTCCGTTTTAAACGAATTGTAACTGGCGGGAAGTCCGTTTAAAATGTACAGAACAATATCTTCTGTGTCCACCGTTGATCCAGCCGCCGCGATGTTATCCACCAATTTCTTGATATGATCGAGGTATTGCTGCATTGTTTGATCGGCCATCCTGATTTGGTGAAGCTCATTTTTGAGCTGGATGACGCGAGAGCGGTTTGCTGGTTGGAGACGGCGTTCCAAGGTGATCCAGATGTCGTGGGCGGTGTGAAGGGTGATCACATAGGGTAGAATGCTCGGAGAAATTGTAGATAGGAGAGCCGAGACCAGATTTAGGTCGATCAAGCGCCAGCGATTTTGATCAAGAATGTCGGAGTCAAGTGGACAAAGAACCGTGCCGGAGAGATGACCGTCATATCCATTGGCGGCGAAATGTTGATAGAGCTGGAGCTTCCAGATAGAATAATTTTCGGTGGTGAGAATCGTGGGAACGAGATTCTTGATATTGGAAATTAGGAATTTTAGATGGATAGGAATGGCAAGATCGGAATCTTGGCTGGAAATGGTGGATTGTTGCCGGTGAGACCCGACCGAAGCTTCGTCGCCCATGATAAGAGAGGGGACGGGACGAGCCAAGCGGAAGAAGAAGAGGAGAGAAAGAAAGAAAAAAAAATGCTGTGGAGCTTTAGCGCTTTGATACCATGATGAAATGAGGAGGAGGTCGGTGAAACAGGGAAGAAGATGAAGAACAGACAGTGAAATTGTATTTGATTATTATATCTATTACAGCTTATTACAATGCTATTTATAGAAAATGTATGTAAAGAAATACACAAAAGGACAGCTGACGTGGCAAAGACTAAAAGCAGATTACCAAGGCAATAATGAAAATAAACTCTTCATTAGTGTCACTGATAAACATAGAAAAGATGAACCAAAAGTTTTTTTTTATTTTATTTATGAGAGATTTATATACGTAACATATCTTAAGTACTTTCATATCTAACACCAAAATTTTGATATTTATTTATATAACACTTTAGTAGTGTAGCAATCACTTCAAAGCATATGCATGAAAATATTTATTTCACTTTATAAAAACTAATACCAATGATATTTTTGAAGTGATTTAAATATTTGAGTATTATATAAATACATATTAAAATTTAGGTGTTATATATATAAATACATAGGAATTGTGTGGTATGTATGTAAATCCCCCATTTAATTATATTTTTATTTTTATTTTAAAGGTTTGAACCCCACACCTCACCTTTAGGTTTTGTTTGGGACAGCTTTATTCTTGCTTTCTAAAATAATTTTCTATTACAAAAATTTATTGAATTTGAAATTTTTATACTAAAAAATCATTTTGAAAAGCAGTACAAAAACTGTCCCAAAGGAAGCTTGAGGGGTAAGGGACAATACCATTAGACTGAAGGCCAACATTGACACGGTTTTTATTTTATTTTATTTTTTTTTTTATTTTTTATTGTTTATGTCCTTACCTAATTTAAGGTTACTGACACGGTTAATTTGGTTGGGCATAAATAAATGCAATACACACCTCACCTTTAGGTTTTGTTTGGGAAAGCTTTATTCTTGCTTTCTAAAATAATTTTCTATTATAAAAATTTATTGAATTTGAAATTTTTATACTAAAAAATTATTTTGAAAAGCAGTACAAAAATTGTCCCAAAGAAAGCCTGAGGGGTAAGGGACAATACCATTAGACTGAAGGCCAACACTGACACGGTTTTTTTTTTATTATTATTTTTATTTTTTATTGTTTATGTCCTTACCTAATTTAAGGTTACTGACACGGTTAATTTGGTTGGGCATAAATAAATGCAATAACAGCATCACTTCATAACAGTAATGATTGAAAATGGCATATGGCCATGATATAAACAAGATTAACATAAAGTTCCAACAAAAGTTAGATATTTATATAAGAATGCAGATAAATAGAATTGAAAAGCTAAAGGCTTCGTTTGGGACAACTTTACAATATTATATTTTTTTCACTTTCTTGAGAATTTTGTACTAAAAAGTAACTTTACAAAGAAATAAAAAAGCCATCACAAACGAAGCAAAAATTTGATAGCAAGCTTATGGTATCTCTCACAGATGACTATAACATAAGAGCATATTGTATAAATAAGACCTTCATGAGAAGGATTCAAATTGAGCTTTTTAAATAAGGAGAATTGCAAAATCCCATTCAAAAGAAAATTTCTGAAATAGTGATAATCTCAGTGACAAAAGTTAACAGTTGATTTTAGAAATTACAGTTTTTCTTTTCTTAAAAAATGGACAAGCAGAACAAACCTTCAGTGTGTACGGTGTAATCTGCGCGCCATCAATTCTGCCCTTCAATTCCGTCATGTGGTGGTGCTGCAGCGGAGCTAGACTGCAAAAAAATGAGCACGCTATATTAGAGTGGAGTTGGAAATCATAAGAATGATTGGGAATGGCATCAAAATTAAATGATTCGAGCCACTTTCAAATGCATTTTGGAACATCTGCTAGAAAAGCACTCAAAAAAGATAACTTGGTGGTTGCAAAATTTGGTAGCAACCAATATCTGATTAGTGCAGGAACTTCTGCAAGAGTAATACAACAACAACATCAAGCCTTTATCCCACTACGTGGGGTCGGCTACATGAATCCTTTTTCTCCATTGTGTCCTATTAAATGTCAAATTCTCGTTTAAATCTAATAAAGAAAGGTCATATCTAATATTTTCTAACCAAGTCTTTTTAGGTCTGCATCTACCTTTCTTAACATAAGTCAAATCTAATATCTCTACTCTCCTACCCGGGTCATTGAAAGGCCACCATTTTATGTGATCAAACCATCTAAGACGACTCTCTCTAATCTTATCTTCTACTGGAGCTACTCCAACCTTTTCACGTATATGCTCTTTTCGTATCCTATCTCTAAGGGTAAAGACACTCATCCACCTGAGCATCCTCATCTCTGCCACACTTAACTTAGTATTATTCTTCTCTTTTAATGGCCAACATTCAGCACCATAAAGCATTGCAGGCCTCACTACCATCTTATAGAATTTTCCCTTAAGTTTGAGGGGATGTAACCCAACCGAAATAGGGAAATACTTGGTCAAACCACCTTGTGTTTGAACACAAGTAATAGTTCCTGGATACATATCTTTAATGATTTGAATATAAGCATTATTAACTCCTTTCTTTTCAAGAACTCTCCATATCTCTTCTCTTGGAAGAACTCATTTTCACTCTCACTTCTGCAAGAGTGATGATAGCTAAAAATATTTTTAGTTAGCTGTTTATTGCTTACAGTTTGATAAGGTATTTAGAGTGGGGGAAGCAGAGATTTAAGTGGTAACTTTAGGAAGAACTCATTTTCAACTCCACTTTAAGGATTCCACAAGGGGTGATTTAGCACAGATTTTAATTTCCAGTTTACGAAAATTTGCCTAAACAATGAGAGCTTTCAGTACTTGAAGAATAGTTTTGAAACTTCAAACAATACTGATCATGAATAAATGAAAATAAATTATTTATAAACTTGACCTCAAATAGTTGAGATGAGCTAATGATGATGACGATGATGATGACTGATAGTAGTGGTTTACTCTTACATTGTCCACATTTTATGAAAGAACAAATGAAGATGAATCAAAGTTTGAGGTTTTCAATTTCGTTAATCAAGGTTTGGAATGAGCCAATAGAAGTTACCCGTCGAATATCCTTTAGTTTGCTGTCGGTCCTATCCACAAGAAGACAATAAGAGTTTTCAAGCTTGGAACATAAAATTTATAGAAACTGTTCATAGACATCACAGCTTGGTTGAATTCATACAGCAAATCAAGGTGTTGCGTAGTCAAAATTCTGAAGGAGTTTAGAGCTCATTTGGTGACTTGTTGATAATTTTACGTTCACTATTTTAGTTTTTTAATAAAAAGTTGCATTAGAGTGAGTTTTAAGGAGGTTTGTATATGTCTGACTAATCAAACCATAAGATAGGTTGAAAATTTTCACGGTACTTGTAATCATTTTGACTGATCGGTTTGAAACTGGCTGATCAACCAGAACATCAAGAGGAGAGAAACTAAAGAGAGGCTCAAACAAATTATGTGGCATAATTTGAAAGTGTCGATCAGGATGACTAAAGGCACTACAGCTATTTTTATCAACATAATAAGAAAAAAATCCTTTTGTAGAGTCTAAATTTTAGCAATCTAATAGACTTCTTACAATGAAATTAATCAACCAAGTGATCATTTTTAGGAGGGGCATGTAGAAATCTGATAGAAAACAGCCACCACAATGTAGGAATTTGCTGAATTTAAGAGAAATTCAGCAAGATTGGTGCAGAAATTCCAAACTTAGTAGAGAAAAAGAAAAATAAATCTCCCAAAGACCCACCTTGTCTGTAAAGTGGAAAGACGACAGCCTCCTACATTCCTTCTTCATAAAAAACGGAAAGAAACTGAAGATTTCGATCCTTACATATGTACCCCGGAATATACTTCTCGTCACATCTGAAACAGAGCCTCTTCGCCCTCTTCTCCTGTTATTCTATTTTTGTGAGTTTCTTGATGTTGTCCCCACATCTTCCTCCAGCATTCTTTTCCTTGAAGTCCCCCGAAGACTATCCAATGTTGGCTCCTTGGATGCTAATAAGGTGATGGTCATCCTGTGCGAGCCTACTGAGTTGTTGCCTCTCATTTCTCTCTCCAGACGCCTCTTATCCTCCACCAATTGAGCTAGCTCCATAGCCACTCCCAAGTCACGAGTCCTCATCACTCTGACTGCCGCTCGAATCTCTGGTTTCAGTCCTTTCATGAAGTTCCCCTCAAACACGGTCTTAGAAAGTCGGTCAAATCGGCAACAAGGTACTCAAACCTCTCCCAGTACTCTATCACTAAATCAGCTTGTGTCAAGGCGAAGAACTGTTCGTAGAAGTCTCCTCCCTTGCCGATTCAAAATCGTTCTAACAGGCAATCCTTGAACTCCCTCCAACTCCATATGGGCCGCCAGATGTCCCTCCCACTGATACCATGCCAAAGAATTCCTTTCTAAACATAGGCCCGCTGACATCAGTCTCTCATCATCCATCTACCTATTGAAAGTAAAGTACCTTTCCATCCTATAGATGATAGATCCATCAATGTGCATCATCTCCCTAAAAAATAGACATCTTTAATTTTCTCACTCTCAGATCTCCTCCGTCAATCCTGCATCCTATTGACTGTAACTGCCAGCAAAATCACCCACGGCTCTAGATTAGACACAACCGCCACCCATAACTACTCAAAGTGTCGCTCTTCTCACGAAATAAAAATAACTCCTCCCCCATTCGGCCAGACACGCACACTCATGCTCTCAGAACCGCAAGCAATCACAAGTAAGAGGAGTTTTGGAGAAACTTACAGATATCATCGATCAAGTCGGGTACAAACTCCAACAACCTGCCTTTACCATCGAACTCGCCGGCCGACCTCAGCCTCCACCTGCTCCGGCCGAAGCAAGTCAACCCGACGCCAGTACGACCCATGCCTTAGCAGCACTGATCGTCTACGCTGCCTCTGACTTTCGCTCGGGCTTAACCCACTATCGTGCCCTAGCCTCCTCCACCGGTCAGATCCGACACCCGCCAGCCTGACTCGCCGCCGTACCCTGTGCCGATGCCGATCATGCCGCCGACAGACCTGCTCCGCCGTGGGCGATCTCCGACCTAGCCCGACTCCTGGCTTTCCTTCACGATCTCCCTCTCTCTGTTTATACTTTATATATATTATATATAATATAATATGTATATTATATAATAATATATATATCATATATTGTATGATATATCATATAATATATGTATATATAGTATTATATTATATATGATATATATTATATATTATGTGTATATTATATAATATATTATAATATATAATAAAATAAATAAAGTAAGAGAAATGTAAGGATTTTCAAACAGGTGTTGAAGACCCACGTCATCGATTTTAGATTTGGGCGGATGATTTCACAATTCGAAGACCCGCGTCGTGATCTTAGATCCGGGCGGATGATTTTAAATTTGAAGCCCCCGCGCCATTGATCTTAGATCTGGACGGGATGAAACAAAATTCGAAGACCCCACGCAGTCGATCTTAGATCCTGATGGGATGGTTTAAAATTGAAGACCCTACGCCGTCAACCTTAGGTCCGGGTAGGAAGAAATTTCGGAAGATGCCGTCCCGATTTCTCCCTCGGTGGGGAGGAAATGTCGGGAGGCTGCCAGATTTTCCTCAAAAATGCTGGACTTGGACAAATTGGAGAACATTCAATTGAACAATTTAATTTAATTAATTTGAAATTTCACAATCAAATTTAATTGAGCAGTTAACATGTTCCTAATGAGTAAATCATTTAAATTTGATAATCCATTAAATTAATTGGCTTATTATACTTAGTTAATAATGCAATCAAATTTCATCATTAATAACATTACTTAAATGCATTATTGAACCTCTTTTAATGTTTCATTTGATTAACATGTTAATAGTGCAATCAAATGACATTGGAAATGACTACATTGCAGACTATTCACGAGTAATATCATCCAATAGCAATTAAATAAAATTGAGACTCTGTGCAAGTTAAGATCAGACAACAGAACATTTGACAATTAATTTTCATTTGATGTCCTGCAATAAAGAACTTCTCTAGGTTCTCTTATGAAAATTCTTTGGAAACTCGTTGCTATGTGGGGATCGTCTTAGATATTCTTCATATAGATAAACATGCATCAAGACTTAGCATCCCTCAAAGTTTTGTAGTTCTTCAAATGGACCGAACCATTCATGCATCTGAAGAAACCATAAGAGTTATAGAAAGTCTTAATGAGCAATGCATAATTGTGTTTAACAATAAAGAAAAATCATAATTTGATGATTTGAAGAACTGATGATTCTCATAAATCATTAAGACCTTATACTCAAAGAAATTAAAAAATTGTCTAGGTAACCCTAAAAAACGAATGATTTGTAATGAATATAATTTGTTGTGCTGTTATATGAGTAATATTTAACAGACTTGTGAGCGGCATATTATAATTTACCTATAAATGAGAGTAGAATTTATAATACCCACTACAAATATGCTATAAATTCACCTATGAGAAGGATTAGGAAATTTGTAGTGCACACAATAACTAGTTTGCAAGCAAGAACAAAGAGATTGTATCAAATAAATCAGTCTATTTATAAGAGAGAATAGGAGAACTTATAGCAAGCAAAATAATTCTCTTATATACACGAGCACGGTCTCCTAGTACCGATTAAACAAACACCTTCTACGAGCTGTGCTAAGTGACACTTAGAGGAGTTAAAACAAACTAAATTCAATAACTGAAATTTAGAAAGCTTTAACGCCACCGGTTCCACAACATGTGTGCAAGCGGACATAAGGCGTTTGTAGGCCCTTAAATAAAATCTCGAGCATTTTTTTAAATAAAATCACTCTCACAAATGGATCATATTTAAATATTTTAAAATATCCCTTATGTATTAAATATGATCTCTTAAACTAAATATACCCCTGCATATGCTCCGGTCAGGGCATTAAAGTTACAAACACCATTGTCCGAGAATGCTGCGTAGGGTAAAATACTATAACTTGCATGTGCTCTAATCGCTACATCTAAGTCCCAAATCCAACGATTCAAAAAATCTGTGCGAGCCAAATATTCAAGTTTCATCCTCCTTGAAAGGACTGGAGTTGACACAACTTGAATTAGAAAATGCCTCCCAAAATCTTACAAATACAAGTGACCTTAATGTCACCCCGATGATGGCCTCGTTGATAGAAAATCTCAACCGGAGGGGTCAAATCTCAAATTCAATATCAAATCCAATAAAATTCTAAATCTCTGAAATGAAATATATCACCTTAAAACTGAAACTAAAAATCATTCACCTCCCGCAACTATTTATCGGGGGTGATAAATTTGAAATTAACCTGAGCTCACAAAGAGCAAATGTGTGTTGGATGTATCACTATGATTCGTCCTCAAATAGTATCTTGCCAACATGGACATGGCACGTGCCCTCTGATCGGGTGGTTTTGCCGCAAAATGGCACCACTATATTATGATCACGGTCAAATCCAGTATGTTCCCTAAAGACGTCAAACACTTGAGTGATGGATCATAGGGTATATTTGATAGGCATAAAGCCTTCTATTAGCTAAGGTGGATTCATATATATCCCCTTAGACAAATACCAACCCAGATTTACAAGGTATTCTTGGACGAAGCAACCCATGGCTGCCGATAAGGTACCTTCTGTCAGGTTGGGTCGACTACCTCCTCTGACTAAGTAGATTAGGGAACATGACAGTCCGGGACGACGGAACCATGGGATCTTGATCGGGTTCGTCTTCATTACCCCCACCACCAGTTTTAATTTTATAGTGATAAACTTTAAATTCCAAACTTCAAAATTGAAATCATATGATCAAATTCAAACCCTAAAATTGTTGCTATTATACATTGGATTTATGATCCATATGACCTACTTAACGATTAGCCTTAATCGAAAGTTCTCTCATATTATCGGGAGGGATAATTAACTATAGGGGCTTGCGCCTATAGGAAACCAGAACTCAGATCAAAAAGTCCTCACAAAATGAGGGCAAACTCTCTGGGTAGTGTCTTATATAAAACCCAATATGCCTTCTGAAAATTCCCCCGGAATCTAATCTCATTAAAACTCTCTACCGTCATCGTCACATACACTCAAAAGAAAAATAGATGGATGACGCGGGGAGGCTGGGATCACATCATCAAAAATGGAATTTTCGGAGCCCACACTTCCTCCAAAATTTTCCATTCCTTAAGAAGGTGGTTCCCCCCAATTAAGTCAATCATCCTTCATCCGCTCACACCCAAACCTTTCATCACAAGCCCACCTTCTCCCTTCAAATTTAACACCCCTTATATCATATTCAACCCCTCTCCTCAAATTTGGCACCTATTCGATCATAATCAAGTCCGGTGTTGAAGAGTTAAAACGACATAGCGTAGAATGCCGCAACGCTCTAGATTTGGCACCACAATGCTGTGTAGTACCACTGCGCTACGGGTTTGAATGCCACAACATCATGATGACAGAGGCTTGAGCCTCGTAGTGCTCCAAACTGGCGCTGCATCGTTGTGAGGCGGACCTGACAATTTTCCTTCTCATTTTTTTGAATGGTGACATCCCTTGGTGTCATTTACTTGACTTCCTCTTGTGTTTTGAGTGTTAGAACGATGTAATAGAGAATAGAAGCATGGAGAGAGCATGAGAGATGAGAGATATGTACTTATTTCTTCCTATTTTTCATAGTGGATTTTTTGGTGTGGTGTGGCTTTGTGATTTTTTTCCCTTTATTTCGGATTTTTCCATATTAAATCCTAATGTCTTTTACTTTCTGCTACTTTTACTTTCTTGTTTGTTTCGTTGTATAGAATTTGATTGTGTTGATCAATCATATTGTTCTGTTTCCTCGGACCTCAAGTTTCTCGTGCTCTCTGGGGGTGCGGGGGTTTACCCTCTGCTTGGGTTTGGGTGCTTTACATCCGAAATTTTTTTTTTTCCGTACAATTCCCCGGCGCTACGTAGCCAAGTCCCCTAGCATTGTGTTTCTGAGTGCACCGGCACTGAACTACAGAGAGCAGAGCGCCGTAGCGACATAGATACATCACTGCAGTGGATCAAGACAGAGGTTCTAGCGTCACAGGGCTTCAAACTGGCGCTGAAGCGTTGCGAGACTAACCAGATAGTTTTCTTTCTAATTTTTTTGAAGGGTTGCATCCCTTGGGATTATTTTACTTGGCTTTCTATTATATTTTGAGTGTGTATACATTGAGAATGGTGCATGTGAGAAGAGAAGCAAAGAGAGAGTGAGAGAGGAGAGATCTGTACTTATTTCTCTCAATTTTCATAGTGGATTTCTTGGTGTGGTGTGGCTCCGTGATTTTTTTCCTATTTTGAATTTTTTCACGTTAAATCCTCATGTCCTTTACTTTTCCGCTGCTTTTACTTTCTTGCTTGTTTCGTCTTTGTGGTGTTTACTCCTCATCATCCCCGACAACTTCCATCCCCAATAAAATATTGTGCAAAACAAATATATATGTTTAAATATTTTTCTAATCATATCTAAATAGGCATCCACTTTGGATTGCTATCACTAAAAATTGTTAAGACACCTTGCATTTAACAAAACCCTAATCAACTTGTTACAATCTAAGAATCTAGCTTTAAGCTTCTCCCCTTGGTATATTAATTGATTCTTGTAACTTCAAAGATGGTGCAGCTAAATTTACATCATCATGCCTTACCTAATTGTTACCCCAATCAGTTTTGATAAAACTAATGTTGATATTTCCTGTGCTCGTAGACATTAAACTAATTATGTATGTCTGAAGTTAATGGCTATAGAGAGCAGAGACTAATTGCATCCACTTCCTTTCAGAATGTTCTTTAAGGAGATCTCTCGTAAGTTTAAAGTTGAAGCATTATATATGGATTTGATAAGGTTGCGTGATGACCTTTGAGATTTTGGAAATTGAAAGATTTTGGTGGCACTTGCTGATGCAAAAATAGAGTTTTTTTGTTCTACATGAGGACCATATTGAATTTCGCAGTAAAAATTCCATCGTTATAACAAAATTTACAGTAACAAGAACAGAATGCAGCCATGAATATTTATGAAGTTGTTGATGTGCTTTATCTGTTCATCTTCTTTCC